TATAGATTCCATTTCGAATAGTTAGTCCATTTGGCAATTATGATTCGACTCGCGTAAATACGTAAGAACAATTTTTATGTACACAGTATCCTTAAAATTTGGACGCATGGGCAAATATTTTCAAGGAATTAACATTTTATTCAATTGAGATATTAAATGACGTCTTCAGTATCAATCCTCCTTGGAGGACGTGCGTTAAATTCATCTGCTATCTTTCGATATAACTATCCTTCACGTCCACTAAGAAGTAGCAATTCTATTCGTTCTTCCTCTGACAATTTTATATTTAGTGTATGAAGGAAAAATAATTAGAGACACCTGGTATACTTGTTTTCTTTATAAAATTGTAAGAAAGAAAGGCTTACATACACATTCGTAAGGATCTATGTATATGTACATTTCACAACTTCTATTTTTCCTGTGACAGTTTTCATTGTTTCATTCATTATGTCAGATCGACTCACACCACCTTTGAAATAAATTAGTTTTTCTCAACTGTTGCGTGAACTCTACAGTGAAATATGTTTCACTTTGATACCAAGGTGTATATAAAAATGAGGTACAATTGAATAATTCGTAAAAGTTCGAGATATTCATAAAATCTCGACGACAACCATTCTATGTAAATAGAGCGAGCCTCTCGTCTATTCAAATTTATCACGACACACACCAATTTCATACTTAAACCTGAATAATCGAGCACACCTATTTTCTTGATTGATATATTTCTACTATTAATCTGCATTCTGACAACTCCATTGTATTTGAAGGATAAGGATTTAGCGATAATTGCCAATGAGATAATAAATCTTATGTACAGCATTGCGTCAAGGAATAAGGATATGGCATTCGCGTGTATGCAGTCGTTCGAAGTATAAGTACTATACATATGCTTGTACCAAGTCCGAGCAACTGGAGAACGTAACCGTTTCGAAGAGCGTGGAAGTCGGACGGTAAAAATGATCTAGAGCTGGGAGCATTGGAATTCCGTGGAATTGGAAGGAAGGTGGTCCGAGTTGAGCAAAGTTTCGAAGGCTGTCGCGGCGTGGCCGGGAACGGGAAGGACAGGTTTCTCGGTGGGCCTGACAGGGCAGGGGACATTGAAAACACACGTCAGAGAGGAAAGCCGTCGCGTTGGTCGGCGTTTGCCGGTACGATCGGGCCGAGCCTCGAAAACGAAATCTCCTTTGTAACCCGAAATAGGCGCGATTCTCTCCGTGACGGTGGCAGAAGAGAACGGGTCACGGGTCGAGGGTTGGCGTCAGCGTGTATAGCGAGCGGCAGCATTCGCAAAAGGTTTCGGTATAGGGAGTGTGGCGCGTGGTCGTAAGGGGTCGCGAGGGAGAGGGTGGCCGCGCGGGCTGGTTGACGAAGGGGGTGGGTGGTATGGGGTGGTTAGAGGTGTACGAGGATGGGTTGGTTGTCGACGATAGGGCGAAGAAAGAGGTGGAGGAGCGCAGAGAGAAGCCGAGGTCCGTCGGTATCGATCGGGCGTCTGCGGTAGATTGACACGTGTCATGGCCGCCTCTCGGTGTTCGAGAGAACGAGTCGAGCGGGAGAAAGAAAGAAAACGTTTCGAGAGAAAGGTGACGTGGAAAAGAGAGAAAGGGAAGAAAGCGTGCGGAGAGATCTCTGAAACAGAAAGAGAGGCAGAAACGAAGAAAGGCAGGCGAGACGAGGAAGGTGGCGAGGTAGCAAAGCAGTCGAGGGGATAGAGAGAACGGCGTCGAAGGTGGAAGAGGTGGAAGAGACCGACCGTGGGGTGGTTGGCGCGGGGAGGAGGCGAGGGAAAAGGACATTAAGGTGCGTAATAGCCAGCGGGGCGAGCGCGCACCGCCGCGGCATCGATTAGACAGAGGCTCCCTCGTCCCATTGCTAGGATGCAGCCCTCTCCCCTTCTCCTCTTTCCTCGTCGACCCACCGACATACTCACCCTCCGCGCTATATCCACCCGTCCACCACCCACGCAACCCATACTACCGACCGAGAGGTCCCCACGACCACCCAAACCACCCACCCATCTCACCCGCCCTCCGCCTACTCCGTCGAACTGGAGAGCCCCGAGTACGTGCTCTACATACACACTCGTGCGCTTATGTCAGTTCCTGTCCTGCCTGCCGTTGCCTCTGCCTCTGCCACTGCTTCTACTTCTGGCTGTGCTACCGTTGTTACTACTACCGCTCTGTGTGCCACCGCTCTGAGAAAGAGAACGACAGACGCGGAGAGAAAGAAAGAACCAGAGAAAGGGTGAGACAGAGACGCGGTCACACGACCGCGGAGAACGAGGGAGAGAGGATGACGGAGAACCGGTGAAGCAGAAGGAGACGATACGAGACCGAAGGATAATAAGAGGGAATGAGAGCACGCGGATGTAAAGGGTGAGAAGGGAGGAAACAGAGGCTACGGTAGAGGGTAGGCGAAGCCACCTAGCTATCCTATGGCACCTATACACGCGCTACCGGGGACACCAACGTCTAACGTCATTATAAACATTAACGGAGCGGCTCAATATTCCCCGGACCTTGCATCCCCTGCGTCTACCTCTGGTCCATCTCCCTTCTAGACCCGTCCTCCACCTCTTTGCTCTCTACCTATCTCGAACGTTTGTCCATGGCTATCTCGCCGACCTACGCTTTTCGGACCTTTCGATTCGCAAAGGCGATGGATATTATCCTTTCCCTATGGCTTACGTCCTAACATTCTTATTTTTAATATTATTCTATAACTTATCATCTGACATCTGTCATGTACATACGACACAGAAAAACGAAAATCTATCCTTATTTAGTAAGGCGTCGAGCTTCTGCCGTCTATGGCACGAGAATTTTTAAACTTCAAAATTTGGTGTGGCGTGTTTCTTAAAAATCGATTGGTACAACGGCGAGGAGGGTAGCCGCTCGACCGAATTCATACGCGAGGGTTAGAGCACTGATTATCGTTAATTGTGGTTGATATGGAGGAACGAAGGGGACGCGCGAGACCCTCGACCATTTCGAACGGATTAGCGACACCGATCGGAATCGACACGTCCTGTGTCCAGAGCGTCCCGCACCTCTGACACGAGTCCACGATATAATTATGACGCGTGTAGGTACACGGGAGCATCGAAACAAAATGATTCTCCTCGACCTTAACTCGGCGTTTTTCGCTCGGTTTCCTCCGCATTGCACGCTGCACGTGTAATTTAGCCTCGCGTGGCATCGCAACAGAGGGAATTCGTCTAGTTCGTGCGTTCAACAAGTATCCATCCCTCCTCTTCCTTCTGCGGCTCTCCTTCCCACCCCGTGTCTACAGTTAGATCGCAAAGTGGCCGTGCATTCTTTAGCCCGAATGACTGGTTATTTTTCGCGTAAGGGCGAGGGGCGGGGGAGGGGTTGGGGTTAGTTGGTGGAGAAATCGAATGGAACACGAATTCGTTTCCTCGGTAGCAGGTGCGGTGTGCAGGTACTTTTTCTCCGCGGCACGATGGGTAATAAGGGATTAGTCATCAGTGATCGTCGATCAACGTTAACGCGGGCCATATCGGTTCGCTGGACGTCTCCGCGCGATATGTCAAAGTTGGATATTATATTGACGTATCGACGTCTCGATGCTGTCCACGGCCGTTGGCCAATTAACGAGCTTTCTTGTTTTTCCGGCAAACACTCGTAAATCTCGACGGATCTATCCACTCGATTTAGTCCTCTCTTCTCTCCTGTCTCATTCTCATCTCCGTCCACGTTTGCCGGGTAGGTGTACGCGTGTCCCGTACAACGATATACGCGATTAATTTGTCGCTGTTCGAACGATTGTCCTCGCTCTGCAAATATTTAATATACCGCGAACGTCCTAAGCGTAATTGGATCGCGTTTGCTCTGATTCGTTTGCTTGTACTCTACTGTCGAACGATTGCGTGACACGTTCCTGTTTGCTGATATGTGTATAAAAATATTTCACAATGTTACGTATAAGAAGGAAAAATATTGACAACGAATGATTGATTTATTAATTTTTGGGGGGCAGGAAATTCATTACCCGTTATCAATTAGCCGTATACACGGTTTTCCTAGCGTTTAAAATCGACAACGGTGAAAAGAAAAGAAGTTTGTTAAAGGGAGCAGAGTGCTCTCTATAATTCGAGGGTCCCACTATCTCGTTACAAATCGAATTTTAGTCACGTCAAAAGTAAACGATCCGCCCAGATCCGCGCGCGTTAACCGATCGGGTCGCGAGTAGCGTGTTTCGAGCCGGATGGAAATCTCATTTGGTAGTTTTCTTCGCTTAATAAGGCAAGAGGGAATCGGAGAAGGAGAGAAAGAGAGAGAGACGGGAGGACCGGGTGTAGGGAGACGGAGCCAGGAGGTCGCTGCCGGTTCGCAGACTTCGGAAAGGGGAAACGGAAAGGGCGCAACAAGGCCGGGGGTAGAGGTAGCGGAGGGCGTCCGGACGGGAGAAGGACGAGGATGAGGCAGAGGTGGGTGGGTTAGGTGGGTGAGAGGGTGGCAGTGGATGGTTGGAAGTAAGCAGGGGTGGGTAACGGGCTGGGGAGGACGGCGGAGGGCTGCAGAGGGCGGCGGAGGGTCGGCCAGGACTGGGAGGCGAAGTGTCGTCGTCCGAATAACGGCCAAGCGGCATCGACCGATCTTCCTACCCCTAGCTCGTACGAAGCGTCAACTTGTTTCCCTTCTGTTCCGCGAATATCGGACCTTCAATTTGCCCGGTGCGGTTTGCTTACGCGACGCACTAGTCTTAGCCCTTTACGCGTGATACGTGAATGATTCGTCAGTCGCCCCTCAACGATGTCGTCTCTAGCTCGGTTCGTGTTCCTGTTCAGGTTTTCGTTCTCGTTTGTCTTACTTTTTAGGAAAGTTTGTTCGCGAGTCCCTCGACTTTCTCCCAGCACCGATAACTTTCGCGACTCTTAGGAACGAGCAAAAAGGTTCAGCAGGACGCTATCTTTAATTTCCTCATTCGTCCGTTCGTGATTTGTTGAATTGAAGTCGACATACATGTTTTCATAGATCAGACGCGTGACCGATGGACAGCTACGAGGACGACGACGATACTCATTTCTGCATCAAATGTCACCTGACGATACACGGCCTTGAGAATTACGTGCGTCATCGTCAATCCGGATGTCGGTCACCGGATGACAAAAACGAAACGGTGCCGACGACACCGACGACCGTCTCCTATCCCGAGATACTGAACGCGGACGCGTTCTTCAGTTCGTTGGAGTTGCAAAGCAGCTCGAAGTCGAATCCACGGAGGGCGACCACTCTACTGGAAGATAGTAGGAAGTTTAAGAAGGATGAAAAGAGGAAAAAGGGCCAGAAAAGGCAGATGGACGCGGAAGAGTCGACGATGAAGGAAAAGCTTCACAGCATGCTACCCGGTGTTTCGGAACTGGAAGATCCGACCGATCACCTTTGCATGCCATCGCTCGTTGGTTTTCCCGATATCGTTTCTACCACGGCTAGTAAGCCTACGGTTACGAGCAGTCGAAGTAAATTAAGCCAATCGATGAATCATTCGACGAGCATCGAGAACTCAGCGTTCTCACCCAAACACGAACCGGAGAATTCTTTGGAAGGTCTGATGACGTCTCACGTCGAATCGAAGCAAACGAATAGAAAGAGGCAAGAGGAGTCGCAGAGGATGGAACAAGTCCATCAAACGTGGCTGGATGATACTATACTAGCCGAGTTGGCGGTGAACAACGAGAACAAAGATTTGACCAAATACGAATTCGAGTACCAACAGGACGAGGATTCGGAGGACGATATATTGGAGGAAGATTTGGTCGAAGATGAGTCCTACTCGGAATCTGACGACGGCGAGGACCATGAGCGTCCACCGCACGGTCACACCGGTGGCAAATGGAAGCCAGAATTGGACGATCTCCCCCAAAATATGTCTCAACTTCAGGACGACGATGTGGAGCCCGAAGACGAACATCAAGAACATCCGCCGCCGACTTATACCGGTGGCAAATGGCGACCCTCAGACCCGTCGCATGTACGTAATCGTGAAAATCGCCTTAGTAAACCAGTAACCAACGATTATTCTCTTATTTCTTTCTCATCCCGAAAACGAAACTTTTCCTCTACCATTCGCAGAAGCTAGAGGAGTACGAATCCAAGAGTAGCGGCGGACAGCCACCGCCAGGACACACGCGAGGGAAATGGGTACCGGGTGCACAAACGGATATCGAATCAGGATATTGGTGCAGTCCTTGCGGCAGGAAACTTGCTTCTCGATTGGTCTACAACAGGCATCTTCTCTCTGATTTGCACGCTAGAAGGAGCATCCGAGAAATCGATGGTGTTCTTTGCCTGCCACGTGCCGCCAATGTGTACACTGCGAAAAAAACGTCAACTCGTAATCAAGTAATATTTGCTGTTCCTGCATCTAATCTTCCGTTCAAATCCTTTCGTGCATAGCAATTACTTATTCACGGTCATCTACTTACATGATATTAACATCATGATAGAAAAACGTAAAGATAATTATTACTCATCATCGTATCTATTTCATTATTAATTACTACTTATAAGAGGATGACAAAATCCTTACTCCTGCAAAGTACATAAAACGTAATACAAGGAATTTGCATAGAGTGCAGGAGATTTAATTGATACTGTGTAATCGATTGATATTTTGGATTGACAGAAGATTAAGGAGTTGCCGGAAACGAAGGATGTTAAGAAAAGATTACGCAGGCGAGAGAAAGAAATACTCAGCTGCGAGATGTGCCATGCCCGAGTGAAAAGGGCACAAATGGGCAAGCATTTGCTCTCTCATTATCACTGCCGCGTCGCGGGTGTAAATCCTCGCGGGCCACGGGCGCGACGCTTTTTACTAGAAAATATGGCGAATGTGGTTCGGCAGTGCCCCTTTCAGTGTTTCTCTTGTCGCTTTTATTGCAACACCGAGGAAGCGTTTCTGCGTCATTGGCGATCCGAGCTTCACGCGAGAACACTCGAACAGGTATTTTACACTTTTTTTTACTTACAATTGTTTCAAGCTGACATTATGGAACGTTTCTCTATTTTTTTTATAAATTGTAATATTTAATGTAGGAAATTACGAATACATTCATGGAAAATTTAAATACGTTTTGCGATTAGAAACATACATAGCGTCCGAAGTAAAATATCTCTTATAGTAGTTAAAAAATAAAAATAATTTTCACTTAGTATATTTCTGTTCGTACTTACAAAAATGCGAACATTGATGTTGAAATAAAACAAGCAGCGTTCATTTATACTATTTTCGATCGTAGATCGCTGGCAGTTATAAATGCACGCCTTGCGATTTCTGGTGCGAGGAGAACAAAACAATGGAGACGCATCTGTTAAGTCCGAGTCATCGCGACGTTGTTTCGATGATGAACGGTTCAGTGCCGATCGTGATCGGTCGACAACGAGCGCTGCCTTGTGGCAGCTGCGATCGTCGATTTCAATACAATTTACAGCTTCGATTGCACATCAAGGAAACCGGTCACAAAGAGAGTTTGACCGCGACGGACGAATATCAGCAGCGAATCAAGTGTAATTTGTGTTCGCAAATAGTCCGATCATTGATAGCGCTTCAACGTCATCAGTTGTCTTGTCATTCGGATAAAACGGAGAAGGAAGAGGCGAACAAATCGTCTGAGCCGGCACGCTATTACTGTTCGTTCTGCACGATGAACTTTACCACCGCCAAGGAAGCTGTTTTGCATCGAAGAACGTCGAGCCACAAGGAGATCGTGAGGGCACGGAAAAATAATCAAGATTCGTCGATAGCCACAGTCAGAGAATGTCCCCATTGCGTCGAGAAGCAGCCGAATTTATCGGAGCACAAGAAACACCTCCTGTACAAGCATCCCGAGCTTTGTCACAGGTAAGTTCCTGCAGAAGATCTCGGGGTACCCAAAGTCGCGGTAATAGACGCTCAGCGTAATCGATGTTTTCTCGCGCAGATGTCCCAAATGCGGCACACTTTTTGCCCTCTCGCAAGACGTGTCAAGGCATACGAAGGAGAACAAGTGTCGTGGCGATAATAAATTAAACGAGGTGAAAACGACAAGCGTCAAAGACGAGGAATGGAGATGCGGCAGCTGCGGTTTCTCAACCGACTCCCAGGCGGAATACATTTTTCACGAGGCCCTGCACGACGGGATCGTGCAAAACGATAATGACGACACGGTCCGCGGCAAATCTCTACCGAAATATTCCTGTCCCGTTTGCAAAAAGGCGTTCGCGAAGGGATCGCTACGGAATCACATCAGAAATCACACGGGGGAGCGTCCGTTCCCGTGCGCGAAATGTCTCGCGTCCTTCTCGAGAAGATCAGACCTGAGCGCTCACCAGAAAGGGTGCACTGGATCGGCGACGGACTGCTCGAGTGTAACAGGACGGAAACGCATCTACGTCTGCTCTGAGTGCAACGACGCGTTCTACACGAAGTAAGTAAACCATTTATTTATTTGTCGAGCACCGAAGAAGACAGAAAATTATTGGCTGATTAATAATTTTAAACGATCGGTCGAAATGAAAATGGCGCGTAAAAGTAATTGCCCGGGCACGTTCTCAGTACACGCTGCGGAAACCTTTCGATAGTATTCTCGCATGACGTATAGCGAATGTTGTATCGTGACAACAATGGGGTTTCGCGTAGAAAACTAGCTGCATTATCCGACTAACAAAAGGATCGCATTTATCACGGGTTAGATACAATTATATTTCATCGATCGTAGATCGGTGGGTCGTCGACCGAACGCGGTGACCGCGTTCGACGCAAGCCAGAGATCCTTTTTGTGGATCGCTTGGTACCTTTCACCAGGCCATTTATCTTTGCTCCGAGTTACCTTTGCGAGTGCGTTAACATCGATGCACGAGTAATATCGTAAATATTCGATCCCGAAACTGGGCATAGCTACATCACAAGTAGCCAGAGCCGAAATACGGAAGACTGTTCTTGCCGATATCTACGTGTCGTTAGGTAGTCGCGACAACGCGTAGATCGCGTATCGCTTTCGCGTCTTCGGTACAAGGGACCACCTCACCAGTGCGAACCGACTTGTTTTAAATAAAGGATATCGCGGTCCCCGAGGACAAAAACTCTGAGACAATAAAACCGACACTTGTAACAGTGTCATTGCTACGTAATTATAAAATAGTTAACCGTGTCCATGCACGGTGAAACGATGGCGAGACAAGTACTGATAGTAAAGAGATAGAAAACTTGCTGAGGTAAGAGAACGAGAAAGAAGTCGAATCTGTTCGTATTAATATATCACAGTGGCATGTAAACCCACGGCTCATTTAATGGGCTTGCACTATTGCTCCTGCAAAGCGTACTGGCGTTCACCAATACTAATCTACGTAATCAGAAACTCAGGTACTCTAATGCTTCGTTGGACTAGCGAAATTACTAGCACTCATTAATACAATTTAGGTTTTATTAGAAATCTGAATTAGATCAGTTTTTTTATTCGAACGTCATCAATTAAAACACATCCATTGTTTCTTTACTATCTCTTCATTTGAGAGTAATGATTACTGATTAGATTGTTATTAGATCTGAAGTTGAGACAAGCTTTGTATTGTCGACACTTCCAGCGGATGTTTAATATGGACCACGCGATTACGTATTCCTCCTGGCGTCCAGGGGAATTAAATAAGCATACGTGGGTACTGGCAAGGTGCCGGCACGGGGGACGGTTTCCTTCGCGTGTCGACCGTGCACGTCGTCGATCCGAGTATTAAACCATTGCCCGAGCGATCACTATAAAGCAAATGTTAACACCTATGCTCTCTCGTCCGGTCACGGCCGGCTCGTCCCTTTTTGCGCTTCCTCTTCGAGCGTGCTTTCAGCTGTATCCCGCCACTCATGTTACTCGCCTCCATACACACGTTCTGTGGCCTAGTCGAGTCTCCCAATAGATTGGTCAGAAATCTTCGCATTTGGACTTGAAACGATCCGGGTTTCGCTTAATGTCGCGATTCCAACCGTTTCCCCGGGATTAGGGATCCGCTATCGCCGTTTCGATCCCCGTACGATCTTTTCTGGATTCACAGATAGCGCGGTTCGATTCAGCTACGATTCTGTAATCCGACTCGAAGTCGGGGATCTCTTTTATTCGTTACGGATTAACCGACTAACGAGGTTCAACCGTAAATTCGACTCGTCTATCCCGAAAGTTTCCGTAAACGCGTCCGATCGGCGGCGCGGTGTCCGTTCGGTGAACCGAGACCCGGTGTACCTGGAAACAGCGCATCATCTTTCGACCGCAGGTAGTTAAAACTTCCGGCGAGGAGCCAGCCTGATTAGGACTTTCTCTGGCTTCATTTTCGCCGAGGCGAGGGCCAGAGGAAGCGTCGCTTGTGCGTCAGTTGTCGACAATGTCGAATCCAAACTCTGTTCCGTCTCTCCGCCGAGCCGAGCGAAGGGAGACAATTTAGCGAGAAGCGTTTCTGCAAAGTTTCGTAGCTTCGCCCGGAGAGCAACAAACTATTATCATCGATTATATTAACTCGGACGTAGATATGTACACGTAGGCAAGTTTTATTCGGTCTCAAATCTTAGACTTTTTCTTTGGTTTACACAAAAGATTTGGATGTGTGTTTCGTTAAACGGACACTGAAGGAAATTGCGAAAGACGAAGACGAGAAACGTGGCACTGGTAAAGAACAGGGGTAAAGAATTGTGGGAGAGGAAAAGAGTTGAAAAATGGAAGAGTACAACCGATCCAGTGACCGTAAAGAAAGAAAGTGCGGACGGAAGAAGGAAAGCGGAGGTTTAGAAAGGAGAGGTACACGGGAGGATAGAAAGGACGGAAGAGGAGAAAAGAGATAATTACGAGAAGACGGGCAGCTCCCGCGCATTCGATCGCCTAACCAATTCTCAGAATAACCGGGCAATTCTCGATGTATGCGCATATTCAAGATAGTATGTTACATACGCGAGCTACTGACCGTACGTTTCGTTCGTTCCACCCTCGGGCCCTCCGGCTCTTCCATCTCTCGCACCCGCGCCCGCGGTCTCTTCTTCTCCGTCGTGCTTCGGTCAGACCTTTGCAGTGTTCTACCCACCGGCAACCCTCTCGTTTCTGCCTGACGATGTGTGTACGCGAGTTCCCCAGAGGTATTTACATATATGGACCGCGGCACGGCGTGGCGCGCGCGCGTATCTTTTATCTTCCGTAGCAGTAATGGCGCGTCCACCTCCTTCGTACCCGGTCAGGTAAACGCCGTAAAGATAGGCATACTGGATGAGATTGCCGTAACCTCCGCTGACCGTTGACGTTCTGCCGGATGACGCTCCCGATATTATTCGCAAACCCTTTACGCCGATCCGTGTTCTCCCCTTTCTCTTCGATTCTCTTTGCTATTCGTCCACGGTTAATGAACAATGGTTTTTCGCTGATCAAGATAAAGCAGTTCTTTACATATCAAATCTTTAAGTTTTCAGATGCATACCTATCGTGTCGTATCGTAGGATTTTGTAAAATATGGGCCATCATAATTAATATTTAAAAAGCTGAGATAGATCATCGTTGTCAGATATTTTCTGTCAGTAATAAGAATTACAGTTAAGAGATGAGGACAATATAATTGTGGTCTTAAGGGAAAGGCTTAAATCTGAAATCAATCAGGACATCCTGATCGATTGTCGCTGGGTTTCACAGAGTAAAAAGGAGCGAATTACCAGATTGGAGATAACGACAGAGCAGGATATATGTATGTACGTGGGTTCGAGCAGTTAATTCGAACGCGAGGCATGTTCGGATTGAAGGACTATACATAAATCTCCGATCATCGTAAATTTCGAGGCACCGGTAGGAACCTTTCTCGTCTCCCAGCCTACCATTGTTTCAACGGTGTGCGCGAGCGTATCGTTTTCTCTCACCTCCATCGGTCCTGCTAATGAGGCACGGTGTCGTCTTTACGGATCACCCCATAGGCACCCTTAAACATCCGGCCCGGCGAATCCCGCGGGGGATTGTCCGCGCGCTACCGAGAGCAAAACGGCCTCCGGCTATGCCGGGCACCGCGGGAGAAAAGAAAGAGGAGGAAAGATTTCTGCATGCCCCCGGAGGAACAATGCGACGCTGTTGCACCGCATTCGTCGCATTGAAATGTATTAGTGAGGTGTCTACCCGTGCGCGCATTGTGTCGCAAGAACGCGGCGTATGCGTGTACACACGGTAGCATCGGTTTCCTTCGTTCCCGTGTGGCATGGTGTGGTGGCAATGGTGGTCGGTAGAGATGGTACGCGGTGTGGTATGGTTTGGTACGGTGGCACGCGGTAAGCACGGCCCCGTATGCAGACAGTTTAGCGGTGACCGCCCCGCGAGTCCAGTTGTCGCGTGAAATATTGCGATTCATAAAATAAAACAGGCCTGCGGTCGAGGACGCGTAGATATAGCCGGTCGGCTGCTAACCCAGACCTAACCCACCCTCCCTCTCTCTCTCTCTCTCTCTCTTTCTCTACTTCTCTATCTCCCTTTCCGTTTCCTCTTCATCCCTTCACAAGACCTTTTTGAAGCACCGCATCCCCCGGCTCCTAGCCATCGTTTCTTTCTTCTTTATCCTTCCGTCCGCTTTCACCTACGCCAGACTTTCAGCCTCTACGCTAAGCCTGCCCATCCTCGAATCGCGCCATCGGTTCTTCGTCCTTTTTCGGTTTCCCTCTAACCTCCTCGTCCTTTCGCTTTCAACGTAGTCGTAGGTCGCGCGGAGCCAGCATAGCACCGCCAAACCGCAAGTATCGCAAGTAAGCGAGGTCTGCAATTTTTCGGTGTTGCTTCCCAACAGGCCACGATGGTCGCTATTCTCGACATGTAAGTCCGCGCGGCGTGTATGCGGTATAACGCGAATACTCCGTGAAAACCGTTTCACCGCGTTCGGTCCTCTGGATGCGGTAACGAGGGAAGAAGGCGAGACCAGGAACAAACGAAAAAATATGGGCCGCACGAGTAGCTAGTTGTTTTATTTAATTAAAAATTTTTTTTTTCCCATCTCCCGATCCCGGCGAAAGGCAAAAGGGTAACGAATGGTCTGGGAACTGCGCGCGGCGGTGATAGTACGCGTAGAAATTTGGCTCGTAATCTTCGGTGAGGTTATCCCCCGATAACGAAGAACTCGCGATCTTCTTCCCCTCTAACGAACGATCGTCTCCGGTTGAACGAGAAGGCAGAAACGTCGACGTACGTTACGGTTAAGACGCTCCTCCGTTCTGGAGATTCCTCCTTTTCCAGCGGCGAAATTAGCGGAGGACATGTTTATTGTAAATGAATCCTACTCCGGGAGCGGCTCGTGGAAGACTGCTACATGTTCCACGGGGTGGCGAATCGGTGGGACGGAGAGGAAGGTAAGGAGAAGAGGAGGACGCGGTGAGGGTAGTTTCGAGGGCGCGCGCGCTCGCTGCTCCGATTTATGCGCCCGTTACCGAGCCCTCTGG